GTTTGATGAACAGCTAATTATATTAAGCAGCCTGTAGCAATTTGTATTCAGGTGTGTAAGTTCTGTTAATTTTTAATTGCACTAATTCTCAATACTGAATAATTACATTAATTTCTGAAAGCATCAGATGTAAACTGTTGATAGAATCGAAGGTAGAATAAAGCTTTATAATATACCAACCCAATTCACATTCTTTTTCCATTGACAACCTAAATCATTGTTGTAGAGGTCAGGCTTTGTGCAGGCTCTTGTATTTTTAAAGTCTCCATGGGCCTTCAACTGCTTAAACCTAAACTGTGGTAAGTTTTTGTAAAACCAAGAGTTAAAGGTTCTAGAGTTAAAGGAAATTGCTCGATTCCCATTAATTCTTCTATGACTCACCATGATTTTTCCATACCCATTACTCATTTATCTAATTTATAAAGGGTATAATGTCGTTCATCACTCCTACACACTCCGCCACCACCTTAGATGATCTCTGGCCCACAGAAGATAGGGATTTTACCTCCCATGAATTAACATACTACTGTTTCAAGGCTTTGGAGTATTCATTTTCATGCTCCTAATTGTGTGGGGGTACTTAGTCCTGGAATTTCTTCTGCTCCCATCAAAAAATGGTTACACAGATGCAGCTAACAGATAAGGTAACCTTTAGCATTCCAACACATGGGCTGTCCCTCACAGAGCCAGTGTTCTGGCTTCTCTAGATGAGTCAGGTGATTAACACAACAGATAACCGCCATTGGTTATCCTGAAACTATCCAGCAGTCTTTATTACCCCCTGGTAATGATCATGGTCATAACGTTTGTTCGTCTTGTGTTGATTCTAAACAGATCTTTTTAAATTTCAATTTAATTTGATCAATTTGAAATAAAATGTCAAACACTGAGTACCTGGCATTTTCATGAAATCACATGACAAGAGTTCTGTATCTTATTATAGCAAGGAATAGTAACACTCAAAGAACATAATTGTTCCCTATTTAAAACATAAATAAGATGATCTGCTAAATGAGTTATTAAAATAAAAGTGAGACAATTGCTTTTTCATTATCATTGTGTGTATTTTGTGTCCTCGCAGAGCATTTAGAATGATGGAGATCTTTAAATAAGACAGCCTTTATTTTCCCTTCTATCTACAAAACTGTAAGGGACTCATTTTTAAAAAAGACATAGAAACATTTGATGAATCTGTCTGAATTTATTAATATATGTCTGAAAACTGTCTGAATTTATTCCCACCACCCACTTTTGAATTAATGCTATATTAATACAGTGTTACTGAAGAATTGTTAATCCATTATCAATGATATATTTAATGTAAATAAGAACATCCATTAACTTTTAAAAAATTAGAAATAATAGGAAATCAAATCTTATTTTTCCCCTAAAATATTTTTTTTTCACTGTAACAGTGACACAGTAAACAGTGTAAGCATCCAGTAGTATATCTTACCTTATTAAAGAAAAGCAATTCTCTCAGGTTAATGATAATTTGAGCAACTTCATCAGGAATAAGAATCAAATAATAATAATGAAATGTAATAATGAAACTGCTCTAGATCTAGATTTTACTTCTTCTTCTTTCCATCTCTTTGCATGACAAGTTATTACTTGAATAACTTGTACAGGTATCTTACAAAACCAAAAATGAAGGTGTGGTGTAATTGGCTTTTTAAATGGGAGTGGTTTGTGCCTTAAATATATTTAACAATGAAAACAAGTTCAAAAGCTCAAATATACTTTCTGCACTCTGTGTGGGATTCTGCACACCCTTATCACCTAATATAATATAATGAATAATAAAATGTAATTTGGACAGCTCAAATGCAAAGTTTTGCAGGGTACATACTGTATTTATGTGTGTGCCCCGAACCCTTTATATAAATTCTGCACAGATGTTTGTAAAGTGGCTCACTGGAGGAATGGTACTGTACGTGCTGATCACAGCCACAGCTCTTCATTAGGACTGTTCCATGAAATCATTCAAAAAAAATAAAATCATTATACGAAACAAGTATAACGATGTTGTGCTGTAAACTACAGTGCCTTAATGAAATTCTGTGTTAGAACAATAATTCTATTGTCTTGAATCAAAACTGAAACGGCTTATGGGAGTGAGTGATACTGGAATGTAGCACGTCAAGATTTCCAAAGGCAGAAGCCAAAGGTAGATGGGTAATCCTGTCCAGCCTGTTTTGTTTTTTTTTCACATAAAACTTCTGGATTCTTTGATTCGCACTGCTATTACCAGAAGCAACAGAAATGTTACTAAATGTTTTGTCATGTTTCAAAATGATATCAACACGGGTCATTTTTAACTATATTGAATGGACACCTAACTCCAAAAAGGTTTTTCATTTATTACTCTGCCCACCCCTCCAAAACCATCCACATTTTTATTTTTCTTATCTTTGTGTTTCATATTAAGAATGTGTGTGGAGCGTGGACTGTGTGCTTGTGTGTGTGGGTGTGGGGCAAATAATCACATTTTTCCTTCATTGGACAATCTAGTAGTACTGTCTGTATACAACTAATGAATTTAATATATGAAATGAGGAAACTGGCTACAATCAGGCTGAAATAGTGAGGTGCTAAATTAAAAGTAAGGTTTATATTTCTTTATATACTGTAGTTCAATAAAATAAAAGGCCAAGGTTTTCAAAGGCAGGATTCAACAGCAGGTAAACCTTGTGAGCCTTGATTAAACCGGAAAGCATCCTGTGACTCATGTATTATTGCAGTTTGATAAGGAATAAGTTTGTGTACAGTGCGTGTGTGAGTGTCCGTCCGTGCCCCGCAATCAACTGGCCTCCTGTCCAGGGTGTATCCTGCCTTGTGCCTGTGGCTTGTTGTGATAGGCTCTGGCTCTCCCACGACACTGAATTGGATGAAGCACTAGAAAATGGATGGCTGCACAGAGTGTGTCCTCATCCAAAATATGGGTCAAGGCAATGAAAACATTCACTTTATGTTTGTCATGAACTCTCATCTAATTTTTTAATATGTTAAAAGAAAAACATAGTAAATATTATTACCCACTTATTTAAGCACTGTAACATCATGATCCACTTCATCATGAGGCTATATCAGTGTATATAGTCTGGTGCAATTATGTAGCAAGACCATACCTTGGCCCAGCAACCCAGGGCACTTGAAACAAATGGTCTCCCATGACCACTCCAGCATGCATTAGTAATAAAAATAATAATAATCATCATCATAATAATAATAATAATTGCTTACACTTATATAGCACTTTTCTGGACACTCCACTCAAAGCACTTTACAGGTAATGGGGACTCCCCTCCACCACCAATGTGCAGCCCCCACCTGGATGATGCGACGGCAACCATAGTGTGCCACCAATGCTCACCACACATCAGCTCTCAGTGGGGATTATTAGGAGGCCATGATTGGTAAGGGTCAATGGGAAATTTGGCCAGGACACCAAGGTTACACCCCTACTCTTTTTGAGAAACACCCTGGGATTTTTAATGACCACAGAGAGTCAGGACCTCAGTTTCATCAGAAGGACAGCACCTTTTTACAGTATAGTGTCCCCGTTACTATGCTGGGGCACTAGGACCACATAGACCACAGGGTGAGTGCCCCCTCCTGGCCCCACTAACACCTCTTCCAGCAGCAACCTTAGTTTTTCCCAGGAGGTCTCCCATCCAGGTACTGACCAGGCTCACACCTGCTTAGCTTCAGTGGGCTGCCAGCTGTGAGTTGCAGGGTGATATGGTTGCTGGCATAGTAGCCTCAGTATGTGACCATACATGCACAAGGTCAGCCATCTTTAAAGGGGAACTACAGTCCCAATTTCTTGGACTGGTTATTAAATCTCGGTAACAAAATCATAATGTAGCAAGACAATACCCTGGCACAGCAACAAGGACATGCTGGATAGGTCAATTAACAAAAAGTGTCCCTATGTGTCTCTGTACTCCAATGGACCACCATCGGATCCTGTGTACAATCCTTGTGCTCTATGCACATGGGACAGGTTCATGACATTGTGACTCTTACCAGGAATATGTAGCATAGGGAAAAGTGCTTTTAAAAGTCCTTCCATTACAGACAGAAGTGGCTTGCAAATGAATTACTTTTTTAAAATTAATAACAAGTTGCAGGAAATTGCTTTTAAGAGGTAATTTATTACTTTACATATTAAGTATATACACTGCATAAATCACTGGGAACACTATAAGCAGTAAAGTGCTTATACAGAACACTATATGTTAGTTAACTTTAAAAATTAATTCCTTATACAAGTAAATCTAACGGATTTCTGTTCTTACAAAAGTAACTTTCCCTAACAATGGGAAAAATGGATGTTTCATCTTTCATCTTCGGGTGTATAATTTATTATAATCTGCTAAAATTGACACTTGCTAGGTTGAATGAGTCTGAGACTGCATTAATTGATAGTTGTGTTTATATTAAACTTTTAACCTCAAAGGATCACACTGCTTTACATATAAAGGAGATCTACTTTATCTACCACTAAAAATAAACACATCCTCTTCTATAACGTACAGCAGGCCTTATCTAGCAGGAACATCAGTGCACATCAAATTAGGTGAAGAAATTGAATTAAGGGGGATTGTTTGGAAGGTCAGACTATCTTAGACGAGAGTGAAATTTCAAGCAGTGCTTTGGGATTGATTTACTGACCAAATACTCAGGACCTTGACTTCATCCAAAGGACTGCACCTCATACAGCACAATGTGTCTAGTTACACTGTGGTCTGGAAATTCTGGAACAGAGGGAAGTCTGCCACCTACTGGTAGACAAACACCACTTACAGCAACCTGTTTTCCTTTGGAGATCTGACTACAAACTGGTGGCAATGCAGCTGTTAAGAAGATTATTTATACTTTAGGTCAGTGATGTCACAGAACCATTGTGAGGTGCCACATCATATCACCCATGTGCCCAGCAGTCTGACACAGTTGCTGTCTGCGACATCACCCCCTTGTCATGTTACAAGCTTATAAAATGCGCCTTCATTTCGAACTGGCCGCAGAGAATTGTGTACAAGAAGGACGCCGCCAGAAAAACCTTAAAAAGGACATTAAACTCTGACCCCCTGCTGAACCAGAAGTTACTAAGTAAAATTCTTGTTACTCTTATTTTAATTATCATTTATGCATCTTGGATGTACATTTGTAATTGTCAATGAATTACATGGAGCTTTACACTGAAGAGTGGTTTAGTGTAATGCTGGATTTCACAATTTAAATGATGGAAATCTTGCGCGTTAGCAGTGCAGTAGGATGATGATGATGATTAGTGACAATAAGAATAAAACAAGGGCAAGTTATATGCTCTTCTACAGTGATTTTTTTTTTCAGTTTTTGCACAGCTGACTGACACGCAGAATAAGTTCGATTAACCCAGTCCTGTGGAGTCTTGATGCTTTTAGGAGGATCTTTAAATAAGCAACAGTTAAAAAAAGTAATAAAACACTCGTTTTGACCAGTTGAGTAACCAGATGGATCATTAAAGTGATGTGGGAAGGTTATCACTACTTGTGGGTATATCACTTCCATTAGTGGTATGAGCCTAGTTATAAAAGTTGCCGTGTCAAACGTTCTTGTTAAGATGCAAAATACTCTACTGCTATTACAGCAGTCTACCTCTAGAGGGTACACTTACCTCACTATGTGCTTCTCTTTCAACATCAGTTGTTAATTTGCCTTAAAAAGCTATTTACTTAATAATTCTAAGATAAAGTTAAATATCACTTTTTGTTATCAATAGTATTTATTTAGCCATATATAATAAAATGAACCAAATTGCACCAAATAATATAGTGAACTCTCTAAAATGGGATACTGCCTTGTCAACTCCTTATTGCCCAGTTAACACAATGAAATTCCAATAGTATTCCTGCAGAAGAGAATAGCAAAACCAAAGACAATTTACCCTGTCTGGAGATTTCTCTGGATGTTTTGTAGGTGTTCTGGGCCGTCCTCCCACATAAAACCACTCCTGGTCAGTCTCTTCCTGGGGGCAGAGTCCTGAATACTGACATTAGCGGAGGTGAGAGAGGCCGGCAGATGCCTGGGTGTTGCCCCGGAGATGTTTGTGACTACCTGGATGATGTTCTTTGTTGCTCTTGGGGAGATTTGATAGGATAATGGGTCCTGGGTCTAGTTGCTGAGGTCTTGATTATTATCCCTTTGTAGCCTGTCTTGCAGTGCATCCCCAGATGTTTAGACATAGTTTTCCAATCATCTCCAGACTGATGAGCATCAACTTATTTTTTTCTGAGGTCCTCTGAAATCTCTTTTGATGTGTTTTCTCTAACCTGTATGGTAAATATCTAATTCACAAAGTATCTCACTTTTAACAGAGGACTGGGCTGCCCAAACCCAAACTCAAACTCAAACAGTCTTTGTTTACTTGTTTAATTGTAATAAGAAAACAAAGGTTCACTTACTATTTCACGTACAGTATACTGACCGAACCTTAATAACTAATTTTCTCCTACTGTACTCCTTAGACCTTTGCATCTCAAAACACATTGAATGAGTAAATATTGACCCTTATGACTATTTAAGAAAAGAACCATTTCAATTCACCGAGGGCATCGTGCTAAGAAAGTGTGATTCCCATAATTACTGCGGGAGTTCACAAATGTTTACTCGGTAGTGTACACGACAGGTCTCATTTTCGGAAGGAGCAATAAATGCCATAAAAGCTTTTCATTTTATTTTTATTCTTTGTTAATACTGCACAGAGCACCAGACCTTATGTCTTCCACCCACCACTATCAGAACAGTCCTATTGTTGTCTTTATTATTCAATGCGGGCCGGCTCCTAATGCACTGTGCAAAGAGATGGAATGCACTTGCACTGATGATGTCACCTTCCATTTTCGCCAGACTCGCTCCTGATAATGTAATGCTCCCCATTACCAGCTCTCCGAGGAATTACAGTGATATCCCTCTAATCGAATACGAGAAAGCACTCAGTTCTTTCCTAATTGTCATAAATGTCTGAGGGCAGAGCGCCGCCCAATATGATGTAATCTTTGCTTGTACGGTTTGAGTGTGTGGGAAATCTAGAGCCCTGCAGCAATAGAGATCTGCCTGAGTCACACATATACACAGCGTACACACCTGCAGAGAGAAAAACTGCAGGGCAAAAGGAACTGCCCAGATCGAAACTGAAAGGAGACTGGGCAGTTTTGAGTGCACTGGGGCAGCTATTGTGAGGAACTGTTTTTTGTTGGAGTTACACTGGCCCTGCAATTTTGAGATGCCCTCAGACCACCTACTGGTTAATAATCCAGCAACAAATATCCAGCAACACCAAATTCACATCTGTCCAACAAAGCCAACCAGTCCAGTTTCAAAATATTTTTCCATATATAAATATTGTCTTTGGGCGTCAATTGTGAATTGATGTCGACTGTACTGCTTTCAGTGTGTTTAATCTTTTGCAAAAGGGTCATCAGTTCAGACAAGATGGAGATTCTCATCTAAACCACATTTCCCAGAAAACAAAGGGGGATAGCCTGCCAAGCCCCTTCACCTGACCAATTGGACAAATATAATTGATCAGGTGACATTTAAAACTAGGAAGCTGAGGCTCTCATTTTAGGCTGTACCAAAGGAGAATGGAACCAAGAAGCTCCCAGCCATGAGCCTATGGACTTGAAAAATGATTTTTTCTACACTTTAGCTGAAAAAAGATTATGTTTGAGAAGAGTTTTGGAGCTCGTAAACAACATAGCTGCCCAGTTACTTAAGAAAGGAAGTGAAAACATGCAGTTAGAACTTAGAAGAAGAGTTTGGTTTTTGTTTGTGTTTAAGTATGTATCCCTGCACTGTAAAATAAAGAGCACTGCTTTTATTTTACTTTGTAGCTGAGCTGGTATCTGTTTTGCCTAGACCAACCTATTTAAAGGTCCGGTTATGGCACCACTCAAGGTATGCGACACCATTAGAAAGAAGACAACTCTAGGCTAAGGTGCCACCCAAGAGCAGTATTTGTAATTTGTACTTTTATGGGAATGAATATTAATTATCTCTTTGTCCAATCACAACATTACAGGAAACTGAACTTATGAATTGTCCTTTTGCAAATGAGGTGTTTTGGCACATCTGTTTCTAACTGTTATTTATTTATTTTTCTGGTGATGAATGCTCATTGCACTTCTCCACAAAAATGTGATGCTTTATAACTTATAATTGCCATAGTTGATGAATTGACAACCCCTTGAAAGGACAAAAATGGATAAAGACCCCACCTAGTGGCCAGTCTCATCATGTGGCAGCAGTGGCGAAGACTGTATTTTACTGTATATCTTTTTTTATAAAAGCTGTTTTTGCTTCGCCTCCATCTCGAATGGTTTAAATACACACGCACAGCCCAAGGACACGGAGAAAGCACCCTGCACACAAGCTCTGCACACAGAGAACCTGCAAGGCCAGAGGCGCAGTGAGGTCGGTGGAGAGACAGGAAAGGGTCGATGAAGTTTGCTTCGCCTTTAAGAGCCTGTAGCCAGGGCAGAGGAAGAGGTGTCCTTGATGGGTGGCAGTGTTGTCTGAAAGCAGAGCTTGGAAATCCCCTCCTGTCAGCCCTCTGTTCCATTATAGAAAGCAGGGTGAGTCAAGGCCAGCAAGACACTTCTGGTTTACTGAAGGTGCAGTGCATTGAATTAAACAGGCCCCATCTGGGGGACGACAGAGCTTTACAAATAGATTGCAGTTATTTCATTATGGGTGAATCCTCCATGCAGTTCAAATTCCTCATTTTATATTTATGATTGGGCAGAGGGATTTCTGATGAAGTGAGATTTTAAGGTTTTTCTTGGCCACCAGATATTGTTGATATGCCAGCATCCAAATATTTACTTCATTTTATTTTTCATCCCTTGACCTGGTTGGGTGCACTCGGTACTGCTGTTCCTGTAGAGGCTGTCCTGTGTCACTCCTTCAAATACTGACTTTCAACAAGAACACTAATCAAGAAACCAGCATAGGCTGCCATGACACGGGGCATGAGATTTATGCAGTTATGACTAGTTCATTTTACAAAAGGTTTTTAAATGTGTTTAATATAAATGCAAAAAGTAAGTCCATTTTATTGCTTAAGGTATAGCACAATTTAATGGCCTTGATCTATGCACGAATCAAATTGCTATTTCTGTAATGTTAAATTCCATTTGTAAAATAAAGATAACAAGTACAATTTACTGGTTGTGGGACACCATAACCTCTGCTGTTCAGTTTTACTTTCTTCCTGTCATCAAATTAATATTGCTTTTGGAGAAAAGTGCAACAATAAGCAAAAAACAACAACAGCAACACTGTAGTCACTGAATGGATCTCTTATGGAAGTGACATTCTAGAGCTGCCCTTCTCTTTCACAAAAGACAAAAAGGTCGCCCGGTTTGAAACGAACTATCCAGTTCCCCCGCGCAGCAAAACAGGCCACACTCTGTTCCCTCCGTTTCCTTTCTCACAGCCGCCCACTTCCTGCAGAAAAGGGCCGCATCCTGTAGCCTGCTTCCTGTGGGAAGTGACACACGTTTCCTGCATGGGCAAAAAGGAGCACCAGCCCTGCACATGCACGGCACTGCGTGCAAGGTGCAGCCCTCGTCTGAATCACTCCTTTCTGGACTGTAAAGTCCAACCAGCAACCCGAACTTGCTGGTCCTTTGCAGGGCGAGCTAATGGCAAGTCACATCAAAACCATTTCAGAAAAGCTTTTAACATTGTTTGCATTCAAATGTGACTAATGAATACATTTCCTGTGGAGATTTGGTGGCTGTCACGCCAAGGAGCAGACCCTACTTGTACTATTGGTTTCACAGACTTTGATTAGCATTAACCTTGGATGGACTGCTTTTTGAGGTTGACAAGTCTGAACCTATTGCTAATCTTGGTCTTTGAAACCAGGCCGGAGTGTCTGGGCAGTTTCAAACTATGCTGTGGGGCCAAATTGGCTCATTTGGCAAAGGTCTAATTGAAAGCCAAGACAGGAAACTGTCATCCAGACCTGCTCTACATTATATAAATAGGTAATTGGCACAGTTGGCAAACCTGATGAAGGCATGGGTGCATTAGAAGTCAAGTGGGGATGCTTCACCTAACCCAGTAATTGAGATACCTTTGATTGGAATTAGCAATTTCACCATTATCACCATTTGTCTTGAGTGCACTGTCTTCAGTCGGGTTGTGAGATCTGCACTTAGAGAAGAATCACAAGGCCCAGTGGCACATGTTGCAGAAGTTTGAATGTTTTTGTCTCCTCTGCCCATGCAGGTAATTGAAATATAGTGAACCATTGACTCAAGGAGCAAATGTCCAGAAAATCTGGTGCAAAAAGGAATGTGACTATTCCAAACTGCAAGAAGAATGAGTTTTCAGGAATTTGTTTCTTACGATGCACAAGTCTGCATGTGTTTGAATATTTTATTAGCTGCAAGGATGCAATAATGTCAATGTCTTTTAAGGTTCCTATGTCTAGGAGATGACTGGATACAAGAAAAATGTTTATAGACTACTTATGAGCTATTTTCCGAAGTAATCTGCATTAGAGTTATAACATATGTTCACCATTCTTGTCACCTTTAAGAACGAACCGTTCAGGACCTAGGACAGTTCCATTCGTACTAGGAAGACTGATTCTTATTGATCTGTTCAGTGTAGGGTTCTGATGTAAATATAGCTGGATTCTTTATGGTTACTGCGTTTTCACCTTCAAAGGATAAGAGGAAGCCTGCGCAGCTAGATTAACAGTAATTCTGTAGCTGCACGAGCAACTCCACTGAGATGTTAGTTGGATCCATCGAGCTTTCACTTCTGGGGCTATAACCATTTGAACTTGAGACAACTTTGAAATTTTAAAAGGCTGCAGATTGGGGTTTGAGACTGCAAAATCAGCTTGTGAATGAAAATACAATGATGGGACCAGTTCTTCTGGACTGTAACCAGAAGACAGAATGTATTACTTTGAATCATAAAGTGCTGCAGGAACTAAAAACTCCAGAAAGAGACCACCCGAAAGGAACAGAATTTTAAGATTGGCTTTTATTGACAGTCGAGTTGGTTGAAAGCAATTACAAAAATCAAAATTACAAACAAGGAGAAATGAAATAAAATCACCATATAAGCAAGTATATAAAACCAACCACGTAATGTAAAAAATAGATAAAAAAAACAGTAGCAAGATGTGCCCAGCAACAAATTGCTATACAAAAGCAATTCCTTTATATAATATTAAAAGCTTTTCATTTTGTCTTTTGTTTAATCTCAAGACAGTAGCAGGATTATGTACATTCAGTTGAAATCTGTGTTGAAATCTTAGATGTAACAGTCGATTGTCATTTGGCTTACATTTGGATTATGTGAGTGCGGAAGAAAAGCTTTGTGCTTGTGTGTTGTCTTGGCTCTGTATATAATCAGATTTATGTTGCACAATCAAACGCTTCTGACTGCACTATCCTCACATTCCAATGCATTGCAGAGTAATCATCAGGCCACCAGTGGACAGTTTTGTCATGGCCAGATGGACAATCCTTTATCAACCATGGCTCAGCCTTGGATTAACAAGTGCGTTTATTATATTCAGCATTAACCGTTTGGGCATGCCCACCTCAAGGGGACGGGGGTGGGTCTTGATGCTGATTGGCTGGAGGGGTGAAGAAGGCCTGCTCCTCATTGGCCAGCTGGTCACAGGGGCTGCGCAGGGTCTTTTCGAAATCCAGCAGCTGACCCATGAAGTTGAAGTTGGGCGAGATGTTGGACTTGCGGCGCTTCACAAAGTCATAGGCGTCGTTCAGCGAGAGGCCCAACCGCTGCATGAGGTACGCCACGGTGACCGTGACTGAGCGGCTGACCCCAGCCAGACAGTGCACCAGCACCCCGCTCCTCTGGGACAGGGCTTCGTCTGAGAAGAAAGAGGGAAGGGACACCCCAAAAAATAATGAATACACCAGTTTTGGCAACAACTGCTTGGATACTACGTATGTGGAACAAAAGCATAGCTGTGGTGAACTAGATTTCAGAAGGACTGAGTTTTGCAGAATCTTGGCAACTTTAGCAAAAGCTTGCACTTTCGATACCCTAGCTCGCAAAAGAAAAATATGCCTAAAACTACCAGAGCTGTCATTTCAACCCCAGCAACAGAACAAAGGATGCAAACAAGTGGAGTCCATTCATCCCATCTTGCTCATTTGGTAGTATGCTAGCTAAGTCAAACTAAAATTGTGTCCTGCTTATTCTTATATGTGCCTAAAAAGTCTGGTACTCAGCACCTGGCTGGGAAGTGTACCAGGTCCGGGAGTAGGTTCCAGATAGTGCCATTTGTTAAGCAAGTTAACAAAAATCGTGCCATCACAATGTCTTCCCCTTTGTTACTGTTTTCGATTGCAATATCAGTCCTTCTCCGGCAAGAACCTCTCTTTGCAGTCACGTTTTTATCAGTATCTACATCTACCTCTTTCTCTTCATCAGATTAATAACTTGAAGGTCTGCTGAGTGGCCATTCTCTCAATCTGATCCTAATGGACCTGCATAACATCCATTTGGAAACAGCTACTTAGCAATTCTAATCTTCCAAACTCTTTAATAGCACTGCCTACTTTTTGGAGCTTCTCATTAATGAATTCAACTGGGTCAAATGAACAGCTAAAAAAAAGTAACTGGAGCATTTAAGACCTTATCTGCTATTGCTCTTACTTCCTTCCTCCTCTGTTATGCACATTCAGACTTCTGAGTAATTCTCTTCTGCGCCGTATGATTAGACTGCCAATGAAGCAATGTCATCATATATAACAACTCAGCAGGACAGAAAAGGCTGGTGTGTGTGAAGGCATGTGATAAGTCTATCACAGCATCGTGCTTCCCCCCAGAGGGGCTGCTGTAATCATCTATTGGGAAACAGACGGGGTTATGTGGTGCACAAGCTGGTCAATACGAACAGTAGAACCATAAACCAGAAGTGGTGAAGAAATCAGCTGATGTACTGTATCAACTCTTTTGCCCCAGGCTGCTGGTCTGAAAGGGTTAAGGATCTGAACTCGTCTCACTGCAGTTTTTCGAGAAGACTGCTGCTATTTTTGACCATGACCTAATTTACAGTAAGCCCTTGCAGAGTAAGACACAGCTTGCTGGTAAGAATGGCTAAAGAGATCTCTAAATTGGTCCATTGTTTAATGGAAGCTGGGAAGGACACAGGGAATAAAGAGTCTAAGACTCCCAGTCGTCTGCCAAGTCAGACTTAGGCAACAGATTAAATCAAGGCAGGAGGTCAAAGAGTCTTGATGTAACCTCTGGCGTCACTTGTAAAAAGACAGCAATTTCTCTCTGCAGGAAAACACATCTTTCTGTCATTGTGAAAGTCAAGGAAACAGAAATCACTGTTTGTCTCTATTTATTTCCAGTTCTTCATGCATTAAGGTCAGTTTATCTGCAAATGAGCAGAATCACAGTAGGTACTGGAAAAAAGTGAATCAAGACTTATAATCAGATTTTTCTTTTCCACATTACATCACGTCTTCAGAAAAAGAGAGTGCACAGCACTTGAAGTAAAATGCCTGATCAGCCTCCTTCTCAAAGTAAGCTTTGATGTTCTGACTAATCATTTTTACCAAACAGTAAATGAAATGGTACTGTACTCTCCATTAATAGTTCAGAAATAATAATTTCTTTATGGAGCCCTGCTACTTTTAATATGAGTTTCTGTTGTTGATTCTGCATTGATTGTATCAGCCAGGCCAAGTACCTGTATTAATGCTGAAAACGCTGGATGACCAGAGAGAGTAAGAGGGAAGAATACTGCCATTGCACACTGCTCTGAAATCCTTGATTGAACCTGTTACCGTATTTGTGTAGGGTGTGACTTTTTTTAGTCAAAGGCCATAAAACTACTCAACCAAAAATGAAAGTCCAATATTTTCCCTTAATATCTGAGTTTCCCTGTTTATTCACCCATGAGATGTGTGACACAATCCTGAATGAATTTAAAAACAAATAGCAAGTGAGTCCACCTCCAAATGTTCCTAGCAACACATCTCACAAAGCAGACAAAAGCCAAGCTGTTTCGTCACTCCCCTCCTCTGCGTGCAGCACGATCACAAACAGGTTGTGCTGTCAGTGGCCAGTCCTCACTGCTTTGTAAGATGTTCCAAGGGACATATGGAGTGACAGTCCCTTGCCTATATATAAAGCATACAAAATGTCATTTGAACACACACAGATTCACACAGTGTGACATATAAAACAATCAAGGAAACCTGGACTTGTGATAATTTAGATATTTTTTTTTGGGGGGGGAGGGGATTTTAAAAGTCTTTAATGTGTTGGACAGAATTCTATATCAAGGGACCAAAAAAGGTTAATACGTATAGTAAAGCAGCACAAGTAAGCAATTAAGAAATGTAATAGCTAACAAATTATATAACACATCTCCCCTTTTAATGTGTAACAGGGTGATCATTCTCTGCAGAAATACCTTGTGCTATCATGTTCACTCACCGATGAACTGGATAGCCTCTGGGAAAAACTGCGACAGGTTCTGACTCCAGTGGTCAGAAATGGGGATCTGCTTGTATCGGAAATCTCCATTCTTCTCGAAAATGTTGGGCAGATTAGGGGTGACGTTGAGGATGTAACGGATTCCCAGTTTGGACAGCGTGTCTCGATCAGCGGAGTGTTTAGCGCAGCCCAGGTAGAGGTTAGGCAGGATCTGCACAGGGAATGGAGGCTGGGAGCTGGGGCTGGGGTTGTCTGATTCCGGGCCTGTCCCACTCAGCGGGTCTCGGTCTGGGTCTGAGTCCCCATCAGAGCCCAGGGAACCCAAGCGGAGCCCCCCGAGACCCAGCACTGAGGCAGGGGGGGCAAGCCAACGGGCAGATACACTGGTACCACTCTCACAGTGCTGTGGGTACAATCTGTGGAACATCTGAAAACCACCTGAAAGAGGAAACGCAGAGAGATCAGAGCCTAACAGAGCCACTGAGCCATTTTAAATCTTTCTTTTAGTGCCTGCACCTAAAACACAGCCCACACCCAAACACAACTGTGGCTAAGGGCCTTTACTTTCAGTTTTCACGCATTGTTGATCTTTTACTAAATTTAGAAAATTTGCCATCAGAACTGAGGTTAATTGTTAATGATGATGCATATAAAAAGGGCACCTTAGGTTTCAAAAAGGCATTTGTGCCTTTTGTACAGTTGCCAAAGTTTTACCAGTCATCCAAATTTCTTTTATCTTTTTTAACCCCCTAACTCTAGCCCTTATTTTTCTAACCCTGAACATGCATAGTATCTTCAAGTTAATTAAATTAACTACACATGTACTTTAGCAAGATTTTTTCTTAAAAGAATGTTGCAAAAATATTTCAGCATGTAACGAAAGCTATTGACACCCATCTTTGTCCAGAACGTAATCAACATTCTGAAAAGCTCTCCCTTATTTCAGACAGCCTAAAGCTGACCTGTCCCTTAGTCATTTCTACAGTGACTAAAGTATTACAGTATAATTAACACTGGAAACACTTTGTCACTGATAATCAGTAATTTATATCATGCTACATGCATTGCTTTGTAGTTATTCTAAACCTTGTAAATAATTATAAGAAAACCCTATTAAACACCTTCTGGGTCTGCTTAAAAACACATAAAAGGTTTCAAATGGCACGACTCGTCTTGCTCATTTAATTCCTAATTGCACCCAAAATCTAATCTGGTTTATTCATGGAAGGACCAGCTTTAAGAACTTCCGTGGGCAGTTCAATTCAAAGACCCGCAAACACTCTGTGCAAAGAAATCCTGTTTTCAGCCGCAAAAGAATCACCTCTTCATTTCCAGCTGAGATGCCATGCTCCTCGCTTGTTGTTGAACACCCTTTGTTTTCATGTTTTAAAAATGACCTTGGAGATCAATTCCTTTACAGTAATTTTCACTGGTCTTAAGACCAGTCATTACTCAGGCCACTCTACTTCAAACTCTTTCCAGAGCATCAGTATCTATTTTTGACATGTGGTGACTGAGCAAAGTGTTTAAAATTAACACTATTTTGGCACATTGTATTCTTGTAACATAACGTACTTCAGGGGGGCTATGTCCAACAACTTCAGCATACTCCACTGTACACAGACTCTCCTCAACTTGCTTGCCATGATTTCTAACTTATCTGCTCTTACTGGTTGATTGGGTGATGATGAACAGACACAGGTGGGAATGACACTGTATAAGAAGTGCCCACAATTATTTTTTTTCAGATAAAAGTTGTTAACATTGAAACCCATCTTATTATGGCTTCTCTTCTCCCTAATGTATTATGCCATTCTAAGTGAGGGAAGTTGAAAACTCTTTTTCCTCTCAGTTTTATGATATGCATCGCTGATGCTGTTGTGCAGTGAACTGTTATAATTGATAGCCTATAGCACTGATATTCACTCCTAGTCCTGAACAATCGCAGTATCTTCTGGTTTGCCTTCTTCCCTGGACCATGAACTACATTTTTGAATCAATTGTTCACTTAATAGATCTGTCTCTGTTATTAATGTTTCCAAGTCTTTACTCACTGAAAATTATGAGTTACCTATAAAACCTTGTGGACAGCAGCTCGCAGGATCTGGAATGAATATTACTGGCCTACAGCATATTTATGTACTGTATGTACAGTACCATCTTCATTCCAGACTGAAGAATACTACACTTTTTATTTCTCTTTCTTAGTTAATTTAAAACGTAATAGGTGTCTTTACAGTGCAACGCTATACAATCGTTTTTTTCACAGAGCAACCCTCAAAGACAGGAATGATCCCAGATCACCGACCACTACAGAAATAAAGACAAAGGCAATGAAGCTGTGAGTGTGGCGCAGTACAGTCTGAAATGAGTTTTGTGAAAAAAGGCACTTTGAGAGCTCACTGCAGATGGTTCACCACATTTCCTGGAATAACCAGCGAGAATATTAAAGTTGCCAAAGTGGAAGTAAAGACAGAGAAAGAAGGCCCAACAAACAACAAAAAAGGATGTCCCGCAAAACAGAACTGAAATGGGACGACAAAGTAGATGACATTAACCGCATGCTGTTGGGGCTTTCTAGCATATAAACAGGATTGCAAAACTTTTAAATCTGCACTGCTGTTCCCGGTAGAGCACAGGCAATTGTGTTAGTCATATTCTTTTGGCTCCTGCAGTTCCTATTTACATTTCAAGTGCTTTTTTAAAGCCTCGCGTTTTAAAGCCTCTTACGCTCTCTGATTGTTCTAACAGAGGAGGAATCGTGCATTAGATTACCTTTCGAAAAACACATGCCAAATGCTTTTAATTGCCACCCTGTTGCTGAAGGCTTTCTATTCTAGGCCTAATGGTGAAACAATTTATTTTTAATGTTCCCTTTGTTAGGGAACATCAGAAAGCAGAAAAAAAATTGCATTGTTAGGAGGGGCCTAGAATCTGTCTCACGTGTACAGTACAGTAAGTGAGCTGTCAATCACTAAAACAATGAAGCACATAACAGCAAGTGAGTATTTTTTACTTTAAAAAGAGGACATGATCTACAAGTCCTGCTCACTTTCTATAGGCCAGATTAGAGCTGAGGGGGCTTATACAACCTGAATCATCCCAATAGCCCCACACATTTCATTTAATTTACATTTAATATAATAAAACCTTTTGAGATGCATCATCTCCTTTTCAAGGGGGTCCATATTTCCCAGATGTAGGTGCTACTAGCCTTAGTTTCTGCTTTTTACACATTGAAAAAGCAAAAAATATTGTTGTTGGAACGGTAAAAATATTGCTGTGTTCCATCCACTTTCCAACCACTTCATCCAGCACAGGATCGCAGGGGAGCCAGAGCCTATCCCGACAAGCCACGGGCACAAGGCAGGATACACCCTGGATAGGATGCCAGTCCATTACAGGGCAAGACGCAAGTAGCCAATTTTTCCAGAAGCCAATTAACCCACCAGGATGTCTTTGGATTGTGGGAGGAAACCAGAGCGCCCAAAGGAAACCCATGTGAACACAGGGAGAACATGCAAACTCCACACAGACAACACCCCAGGTCCACAATAGAACCAAAGACTGCAGTGCTATGAGCTAGCGATGCTAATCACTGTACCACCATGCCACCCTAGTTTCCTTCAGTATGCAATCAAACTATGGCCCACAGATCATGGAGCGTTTCTATACATACTCCACAGCATTGTCATATAATACTCAGGCAGCCTTCATCAAAACACCTTCCTTACAGAAAGAAAACAGGAAACGGAGAGGATGGTAGGACTTTGGGTCCAGAAACAGTGGAGTTGGAGTGCCCAGTACTGGGTGCCAGTAACTGGACTCACCTTTCAGGTAGTACACCTGACAGCCGTCTTTCCTGAGAGTGTGGAGCATGACCGCCATCACTGAGTCCTCCTCCTCCTCCAGGGCGGTGGGGCCCCCGCTGGGACCCGCCTCGCGGCCCTCGTCGTACAGCAGCACGGCGTGAGTGGCGCAGCGGCTGGCGAAGCCCTCCCTCTCCTCGGGGCAGCGGATGAGCGAGGGCACCGTGAGCTGCCCGCGCCTCAGCCTCCTCAGCAGGATGGACGGTATGGCCACGCTGATGGCGCCCACCACCCGCAGAGCCTCGTACATCTCCCGCGGGCGGCAGTCCAGCACCAGGACCCCAGGTTCCGGGCTCAGGTCCAGCTCGCCACACAGCCAGGACGGCGAACGGGCCAGTGCCTCCATACCTGCGGCCTTCACCCCTCTACCGTGGCAGGGCCAGAAGGGCATTCACAGCTTTGCCGATGGGGGACCCTGGGCGTATTCTGGGGCTGGGCATCAATTTGAAATCCTCTGAAGGCACAGGCTGAAATCACCACAACATAAAAAAAGAGTTTCAGCAGCAGAGGATCATGGGAGTGCAGCTGGCCTGATGGGAGTGAAGGCTGGGGCGTCGTGCAAAGAAATCCATCCAGTTGCGCTCCGCTACAACCCAGCGGCTAGATCACACACACAGAGCCTTGTTCCTCTTCCCTGCCCTCACAGAGTCGCGGAAATGTCACCCCAGGGGACTGTCTGTTGAAGACACGTGAAGAAGATCAGACGAGGTTGTTCTGAAGTGAAAGAGGGTTCAAAAAACCTGCTGGCAAATGGGAAAGAATGGATCGTTCACAACTGGTGGTGTGTTTTTGGCCTTTCTCAAGCACGTGTTTATTGTTTTGGCATCCAGCACGGGTGGCGAGCCTGTTGAAATGAGAGAAGGTGGCCTGCAAAGTGTTACCCAGTATTTGGCTGGAACTAAACTGTCCTTGAGGTCACAGTCATGCTCTCTGATGTCCACTTAAACTTTACACCAACTCAGGCAGAATGACCTCTGATTCACCTGATGCTAGAGGGACACACCAGGAGCTGCTCATGAAGAGGCAGGGAGCTCTCTAAAAATTTACATCTCACCAGTTTAAAGTGCGGTTGGAATGGTTCACTCCACCATGCCACTTAGACTGAGTCAAGACATCCAAATGACTTGAACATTGGAAAAGATTCAGCCCAAAGCTTGCAGGCACTTTTATTACTAAGGTGGCCACTTGCTGGCTTCAAGGGAATCTCATACAAAATATGCCGCGTTGGTCTTTAAAAGAATAGTTTATGCAGTCTGAAATATTTAACTCATTTGTACACTAAATTCGTTTACGAAAATATCTATTTTAAGATATCCAAAACACGTCAAGTATCAGTCAGGTCAGTCCTCAATTATAGAAAAAGTCTTTGGATTTTCATTACCATTGGTTTTCTGACAATGCGAGGAATTCTCACATATGCTCATTCTGGATCCATCCTGTAATGCCGTCTGGGCATTGTAGATGCACCCTGCTTGTTTCTGTGGGATGTGGTTCAGTGGATCAGGATTCCCTCAAAGCTCTCTTCCCCAGATGTCTTTACTCCACAGAAAAACCACCTGCGTGCCCCTGCTTCTGCACTGCACTGGATTGCACTGAGTGGATTCCTTTACCTCTCAGCTGCAAAGCTGCAAAAAAAAACATAAAACATGAAGAACTGATTTAAGAAGAAAATTATGAAAAAGGACAACATCATAAAATAAGAAACCACCACCAGAATATGACTCAGAATTATTACTATTCAAAAGAATAACCATTCAAACTTGTTATTATTAATTGTATTTGCTATAATTGGGTTGGTAGTAGCGGTTTCCGTCATTTTCCTTTTTCTTGTTCAAGATTCAAGTTCAAACTCAAAAATGATTGCAGAGAACACAATCCCTTTTCTACAAATGTCATTGAGCAGCAACAAAAGCGTAGCGCACAAATGCTCAATTTTAATTAACCCCGACAACTTGTTCACGGCGCCTGAGCCCATCCAAAAGATCTTGGCAACAAAAAAAAACGACCACTTAGTGACCGCGCGTAACTGCAGCGATCCACGCACATTTGGGAAATTAAGCGATCTGTTGCGCACTTCAAAATACGGCGAGCAAATCAACTTTGGTATAAATAACCATTGAGAAAGTGTAGAACAAAGCCACCAGCGAGATTTGCCATTTATGAGGGAACTGCACAAGTGATACACTATATGACTACAAACAAAAGCAATAGCAGTTTCACACTTGAGTTGTTCTAATTGCAGCAAAGTTAAATTGGGAAGTTCGTGATGAACCACGCTCTTTATGCAACTGCTGCATCATAAACGCTGCCTTTGAGTGGGTTACAAGAGCAGATAAAATGTTGTTTGTGTTGACCTTAAAAACAAAGAAACTTTATATCATAACTTAATAACTTCCATGACGATGACTCGCACGTACTTACATGTGTACTTGCAGTTACAAGGTGACGTTAACTTTACGGGTCTAAAGAATTAAGGACGGTGCTGATTTACAGTACAACATTATCATCGTCAGAGAAAGTGCTTTGTGCCGTTATGTTTTTGCTAGGCTAAAACCATGTGTGTTTCTTATCGACGAAAAAAAAAACACATTATAGTGGTTTCAGATCTTGAAAACACTTATAGAGGTGTCGGCGGCTAACAGATTTTTGTCTCATTTTAATCTTTTGAGGTCAATGACTGAAACTAGCGATACTCCCCCTAGGCTTGTTGCTCTGTAGTGAAGACATGGCACATGTCTCGCTTAGGGTTGTCTAAGCTGGATAGAGAGCACATGCAGAATGTCGCACTAAAATAACTGTAACAGAACACCAGCACTGCAGTAAGAAGTATATTAACTTACCCTTTCTGATGATTTGTTTTGTTGTCCTTCTTTTGCAGTCCAGCTGCACTAATGGGAAGACGTTGATAATCATGCAATAATCATCTTCGATCGCAACTGAAGACAGGCTGCTGTACCATATTCAGTATGTATTTAAAAAAAAGTGATTCAGCGCTGTGGTGACTGATAAAAGAGCAGGCGGGGTATACCGACTTGCAGTCATTCACCAAAGAAAAACGAAATGAAAGCGAGAGATTGCTTTCCTTGGAACCCCCCTAACCGAAAAATGAAGGTTTTGTTTCAGAATACTTAAAATGGGATTTCGACTCTCGAATCCTACGATTTACTGGCATGAAAGTGCGAAGGTGCGTTATTTTTCACTGTGGAGTTTCAGTCGTCTTGCCCCACACCAGTTGGCCCGTTAGTATTCAATGTGGGATGTAATAATGCGGCTTTTTAAATTGCAGGCATAAGACAGAAGGAGAAACAACGCATTCGGTTTTGTATTTATATTTGTATTTTAACTTTCCGCTGCGCACACGGGTCATTCTCTGGCGTAGACAGAAAAGGCGACTGTCAGTTGCCTAATTCTTTAGAATCTTCAAGAGACTAAAAATTAAGTGCAGCGGCCATGGCGGTATAACAAGAAAGCGCTTTAATGACAAAATAAGACGCTTCTTCTGCTTCTACAAAAAGCCACCGAGTCAAGCTTTTAAACACCGAAATTAATCCAGGTATTGTAGCGCCGATACGGGACGACTCGGATTTGACAGGCGGTTTCTCGCGTATCTCCGGCAGTTTAAAGCTCATATCAATGGTCTCAGAAAAATGCTGTCAGACTCTTCGCCCGGCAGATGAAAACCGCTGAAGGCGTGTGGTCTACATACACATCCTTTTCCCCTTTCGATTCACAGTATTAAGGATGTCCGGATCTCTTGCAAAATAAACAAAACAATACAGTAGGAAACCGAGTTATTTGAGCGCGCAAATGTAGGTGCTGCTTTTGTACAGATGCGTATCAAATGCGTTTTCGTGGTGAAACATAATCGTTTGGCTTTCATAGTACCACGGTGGGCGGTGGAGTACTTGATGTCCTGCCGCCCAAAAGATGCAGGAAAGCGTACATTAGGCGTACTTTTTTATGCCGTACCCTCCAAGTTAAAATGCAATTCAGTAGCCGCTTAAAATCCATATTCTGTAACCGTTTCGGATCCGTGAACTGCTTTTTGAACTAAGGAATTGTATAAAGATGCAATGTCAGGAGAGAAGGCAGACGGGCAGAATTAAGGGGGAAACAAATCATGTACTGTACTTCAGTCCCTTGCTGCTTGCCACGAAAATAAAAGTGGATCCTAAATCAGGCCTCGCGTGTTTCGTAACACTGAGAGGTAGGGGGAGTTAAGGCAAACGAGAACTGGCACAGCAATTAAAACGCAGGTGTAACGTTCCGTGATTTTGGAAATACTTTGCCCGTCCACTCGAGGTTATGTGTGTTTAGCTTCTGTCTTGTACCATAACCGAGATCAAAATGCACACTCATTATGTGAATCGAATCGAAAGGCATTCGAATGCAGGAAAAGATAGGGTCAAGTGCAGGCAATAAATTATGTAACCAAGAGTCTTCGTGCTGCAGGAGACTTGCTAAGCACGCCACCGTGCATTACATAACTGATACAGCAGGTCTATGCCAAGGAAGACAATATGTCGAGTATTTTATATCTCGTAGGAAAGCAGGCTTTATCGGCAATCCTGTCAGTTAATTCCCCAGTCTGCAAATTGTCTGAGGAAATAAAAGCCTACTCTGAAGTTATAAGTATTTTTAATTGTTTCCAAAGCCTACGTTTGGCTGCGGTTAGTCAATATCAATGTCTCCTTTACGAATGCAACTTAGGGGAATTCTGTGACTTTTGCTTGAACTTACAAAGCTGATTGGCTTTCGATGTACAGTAAATGAGGTTATAATGCTGATAAATGTGTCTACATATCTGGTGATGTTCCCTTGGTTACTAGTCAGATATTATCTGTAGCGTGTAGAAGTATTTTTAACTTTCCGGTCCAGTTATTGTTAATGAAAACTGTAATGTTAGAATGGAGACACCGCTCCTTCCCTGCCTCTGCAGTTTTCGGTAATCCTGGGAAAATTTTAATTCTTCTTGCCTTCTGCTATAAGACTGTACAACGCACCCACCTTGCGTCCGGGCAGAGGTAACATTGACAGTGACCTGTTTCTGGACTGAACAGTAAACTGACACATCTGTTCTTTTTCTTTTCCCGTTTACAACCGTTTTTTTTTTGTGTGCAATATATGCCAGGGACCCGTGCAATACATTTATATTTATATTTATATCTATATTTACAGGATATTCATATGTGCAATACAATTTTTCTGCGTACTGTTCTGTCCCAGTTTGTTCTTTGTGTGTTCTGGACTGTGAGTACTGTAACTCTTTTAGTGCACTCCTCACTGTACTGATTGTATTGTATTATTATTATTATTATTATTATTATTATTATTATTGTATCATTCGTTACACGGTGGCTGTGTTGTCTGTGTTAAGCTGCTGTTGCACTGCAATTTCCCTCACGCGATCAATAAAGTATCTATGATTTTTTTAGATGCCTTCATATATTACTTTATTTCTCTTTCCATTTTCAACACTCAAATATGACTGTTCCTTTTTGTAACGCACGCTGTAAGAGCAATCCTTTAACACTCTATAAGCACAGAAACTAAAAGGTTACAGCAGTTCTCTGATCGATATTTCATACGGGAAGTCTTAGTAACAGAGATGACCTCATCCCTGCTCCCGCGATGCTCATTTTCGTTAGTCACTCAGTCAAGCACAGCGCTCACCTCCCGAGCAGAGACTGTCACTGGTGCGAATTGAAGGCATTCTCGCGACTTCTAATTTCTTTTTGCCGCATTTGGGAATTGTCGTTCTAGTCACACGGAATGTGAGCCTATCTTTTCAGACGATTGGATGAAGACGTACAGCAACAATGACAATGGTATGGCACCATTTAGAAAAGAATTAATTGTTACTATCCGTTGAACTGGATAATTCCCCATCGCCTTTTGCTTTACACCTGCGCCACCGTTTCTAAAATGGCTGTGAAGTGTAGGTCTTTATTGTCACCTTAGTTCATATCTAACAGCGATACAACCCTGAAACCTGATCTCCTCAGAAACTAAGCCAACCTGGGCCTGGTTAATTCTTGAGTAGCACACATCCTTTCTTGAGTCCACTACCAGAAAGCCTCTTGATCCTCCGTCTTGGGAGCTTATCCGTGAAACATAGTGCGCAAAGCGGGACCAAGAGCAAACCACAGCTCATCCCCTATCACAAGGTCTTGGGCAAAGGTACAATTTAATAATAGCCAGTAAAATCTTCAAGGCAGGGCACACACACACCAGCACATTGACAATTAAGAGACACCAGTTAAACTGTTTTAGGAAGACAAAGCACAAACAGGGAGATCAAAAAGCTACTCTCAGAAAGAGAAGTCGTAAGGGAAGACTAATGTGCTTGCTGATTGCCAGTATGATCGGGTGCCCAGGAGTTGGGTCTCTTCTTTCTCCACCCAACCATCATCCCTTTAAGTTAACATTGGAAACTGTGCTGTACTGTAGAAGGTGGCATACAGTAAAAGGACTAAGATTCAGGCGGGATTCTGAATGATTTTGGGCCTGAACTTGTTGGAGAGCCTTGCAAATAGCTGATTTCTTGCAGATCCCCGGAAAAGCTCATGGAGAACAATTTTTGCAGGGACAGGGAAAAGTTCCTCTGCTTCTGCTGCTTGGAGGAATCTGTAAGCATTCTGTTCTCTGAATTATGATAAATATATTCCCAGTGAACTTCACACCTATGAAAGTCATTACTTTCATCTTAATCAGGCCAAGTTCCACAGTGCCATTCAGGATAGCATCAGCTGGATGATGCTGCATTCACTGACAACACTGCAAGTAAACTAACTCTTATTGACAATCCTGCAAGCCAACTCTCATTGATGACACTGCAACCAAACTAACTTTCATTAACAATGAAAAGTTTTTAATAACAATACTGCAAGCAAACATAGACTCACTGACAACACTGAAAGCCAACTAACATTCACTGACAACACTGCAAGCAAAATAACTCTCATTGACAATATTCCAAGCACACTTACTCTCATTGACAATACTGCAAGTACACTAACATTCATTGATAACACTGCAAACAAATAACTAGCAAGACAATAGGGCTACTGTTGCTTTGTAAGCTGAGGATACCCTTGTCACCTCAAGCCATGACTGCAATTATGCTGCTTCTTGGGAAATGTTAGTCACAGCTGGCTAAAGACACGGACCAGGTTCAAACCAGGAATATGCCTGTGCTCAGAACAAGTTTGGGTCATTTACAAGCCCGTTCTATTGGACTTGAATATGTTCTGGATTTTTTGCCAGCGTGTGTGTCACGTTAGCCTCCCCCTGCCAGTTGTAGCTACGGGCTGCAGTCTTCCATAGATAGCAACAGGTCAGGGAGGTAGTTTGAGACAAACCGATCCCAGAGCAGCGCTTGGGGAAACAATCTGTCTGCACCTCTTTTGTGCAAAAAAGATGTTGACGTCATTTCACATTCTTGTTTTGTTGCTGCCAGAGCCGGCTGGCTTCCTGACATTATTCGAGGAACGAGCCTCTGATTTCTTTCCTTCCTTCGGGGGGAGAGAACAGGCGATCCATTTTCGCTCTTCCCATAATTTCCATCCCCTGAAGCTTTAAAACGTCCCTGTCTAAGGAGCTGATTGCCCCCACCTGCATCTTCCTTTTTCATTCCTTGCTGGCGGTGTATCCTCTGATGTGTAATATTCTGTGATGCTCTGACATTGTTTCTCCTCAGTTATTATTTGCCATTGCGCTTTCTGGACAAAAACAGCTCCTGACAAATTTCCTCAACCCAGTTTGCCTGGGATAGTGCAGGCGAATCAGAATAGTGTTACACAAGCCAATCTGGTGATGGCACTTCAAAGTCAGGTTGGTCCGTGTACAGTGCTCATCATTAAGTGTGCACTGAGTATTCCTCACACAATGTGGTCACTGCAGTGTGTAGTACTGTATGTACAGGGTGTATGAGAAACAAAGCCAAACTATGATGGAATGAAGATACAGAGTATATGGCCCCAGATGTCTTTCTCTGCTCTCTCCTGAAACCTCAAGTCAGCCATTCATTTATTGTGTGATGCTGGGAAGAATACTTTCATTAGAGTGGTGGGGACACATTGGTTAACATATGTCTATGTGACAGTGCGTTCCATGTGAAAAGCTAATGACCACATTAGATAGTTTTTTTTCCCCCGAAATGACATGAAATAGAAAAATACATCCAGTTAAATACAGAAATATTCACACGTCTGCAAGAAAAAATTAAATGTGATGAATAATATCATACTGTATATACTGACCTATTTAGACGTGCATTTCAGTTAGACTTTTATCTAGGAGAGCCAACACATTTATTTGTCTGCCCTGAACAATAGAATCCTTGAGAACTCTTCTCAATAGCCGTCTGGACTGGGACAGTCGGTATAGCAAACAAAAATGGTTTTGTTGTTTGCACTCTGCGTGAGTTTCTCGTTTCATTTTTTCAACAGCTAACGAACAAAATAGACTAAAAATGAAAACTTACACAACCTGATTGCCAGAAAGATTTTTCTGCAGCTAATTTCTGATTCAACACGTAGGTGGTTAGTTAGTCAGCGAGGGAAATGGCAGAAGCACACGGGACAAGTAACACATCGAATCATCTTTGCGCCAAACTACTGGTGTTTATATAATCTCTCCAGCACCCCGCTCTCCCTCCCCAACCTTATTAACACCTCCAGCAGGTACACGATATTCTGCACAGTTCGTTCTGAACTTGAACCTTGAGCTTGAAGCACGGAGAAGGCATCTGGCAGTGTGGGCTGGCTCGTGTTTGCTAACAGCCGACTGCGAGATCTGTAGTCCGGCAGCCTCAAACGCATTCCACCAACAGTGAGCCAGGATAGAAAGGGCCGCTATTTTTTCTTAGGAAAATTCCAGTGAAGGGGGCGGCACAGTTCTTATTTAATTTGGTAATAAAAGCTGTGAAAGCACTACTTTTATCCACAACGAGCTTTTTTTATCGACCAAAAGAAAAGCATCTAAGACACAAACAAAATACACCCAACAGAAACCGATTTTATGAAACCTGTTACCACTACATAATGCAAGGTCTGCGTTCTTCTACAGATGAAAGAAAGAACTATTGAATCCTATTAGCTGTCTAGAGAAGCTCTTGTTCTATTGCTTAGAAAGCCGTTTTGTGTGAGTATCTTAATATAGCAGCGTCGTACCGACATTTGTAACATTTCTGAGAGTATCCGTTTGATGTTGAACTATACCCCAAATATTGGTAAATGGTATTGGTTTGGTAAAAGACAGCAACTCTCAGTTTAGCAATATTAGCTCTGGTATATATATACACACACATAAATCTTTGATTTATCAGAAAATCGTTAGCGGCATTTAGAAGCAAAAGCCTTAGACCGTGTACCTCACCGCGCAGGCTAACCTGTGTGCACTGACCAGGTGCTTTGAAACTCCCTTTGATGATCCCGCTTCAAAGGCGACCACAAACAGCCGACATTCAGAACCGTCCCCGGCCAAGAATAGAACCGGAGAGGACACTGGAGAGTTAAAGGAACTTCCTAACGTTCAGTGGAAGCTAATCCAAAGCGAAACAGTCCATTTTTAAAGGTTCAATTTTTAGTTCTTTCACAATTCCTCGTGTCTTTTTATGGATATATGCCTTAATTGTGGTGGTGTGATGTGTATTAGAAGTTCATATTACTTTACAAAATGTTATTAAAATAATTAAACTTTTTTATTTCATTATGAATTGTGATACGCAGTAAAGATGTAAATGCTAAGTCTATACCTATATATATATATCTTATCCAAGTAAATATAATTGCTTCGCTATCATGCACGTTGATTGTATACCTGAGCAGTAAAGGCCTTACTGGATTTAAATTATAAACACTGGTTGACCGAATCACTGATTAAAATAAGCAGACGCGTTTTTCAACCAGGAAAATATAACAAAACCTATGTACTCTTCTGTTTTTGCCTACGCTGACCTGTTCTCGAGAGCCTGTGGTGATGTCAATAATATTTATTTTGGCGACTCCCGTTCAACAGGTGGCGTACTATTTTATTCGCACTTCCCGATTTGGTTAGAGCGTTGTTTATATGTGTACTCTATGGTATTACAGTGCATGATGGAAGTATGCGTTGGAGTAGTTGTATGTTGTCTAAGAAAACGTATTTTTTGTTGATATATAATATTGGAGAGTTTCGCATTTAAAATTTATGTGGATATCTTAAAATATTTGATTTATTCGGAAGTCTCGGCCATTCGTTTCTTGAGTAACGTAAGTTAATCTTTTAAGTCTAAGACATTAGCAGTTAAAAGCACATTGCCTCTTCTTACTTATTTTTCTTTCTTGGATTCAGATATTTAATTCGGGGTGTGTGTTTATACTTCAGTTGATAAAACCTTTTCCACACTTTCTTTGATGGTTAAGTGTATTTGCAAGATTTTGCATGTCTGGTAATTGAAATTTTAATTGATGCTTATGTACGGAATTGTTCTGTGTATTTCTATTAGTAGAAAATAAAAGGCCCCATAAAACATAAATAAAAAAAAGAGATTGCAAGTGTCGTGGTTAATTTATCGTGGTTTATTATACCTTAACGTATGGACTGAACGTAGTGCATATACAAATATAGTTTTCAGAGCATGTCGACCTGCGATACATAGGTACAAAAAAGAAAGCGGAGATTTTACATTTTCGAGTTTTAAATGATGAAAAATGTTTCGGGAACTGTTGAACCACACTTCAACGGACTTGGGGTTGTTTTTCTAAACTTTTGTGGGCGATGTCAGTATAGCCTTTGCATTCCAAGAGATGATTATTGAGAATCCGGTCGGTGGCCTGCTGCATTGGGTTGTGGGAAGCATTTGGCCACAATGGTTACAATGATTTAACTTTAGCTAGAGCTGTCTGTGTTAGCTTAGCGTTTTTTTGCACTGTGCGCTGCGCTGGTTTCCATTGCTGAATTTATATTTCAGTGCAGACCCGAACAGTTCCCCAATGGAGGTTTGTGAAGAGGCAGACAGTGGCCGGTGTCCCAGTGAGATGGATGCCAACTCGGACATAAAAACCCACTTCAAAGTGTGTCGCTTCATTATGGAGACTGGTAAGGCGCATCGCACCTCAAAAGAACATCTCAATCTCCAATCAAGCACCAAATTAAACTGTATGACGGTATAGCTCTTCCCTCCATTCTGTTTGCCACATTAACTAAAGTTCTTTATTTCACAATAGCTTCAAGGGACTCTCACTGCAAGATTTGCATGAAACAAAATGTCACTCTCAGAAAAGAAAGGAAATAATGCAAATTTAATATTCTTCTTTAAATTTAATTTTCTTCTTTAGAAGAGTCTTTACTTAACTGGTTCCATTCTTTATCCCTCTGCTCCTACTATACTATACTATACTAAGTACCACCATCCACTGTCTCCTCTGTGTATTGTAATTGTGTTTTATCTTGTGTATTATTTTTATTTATTGTTGCTCTCATTCTGTTAGGCACTTTGAGAAGCCACCTTTAAAGGTGCTATATAATATAAAGTTTATTATTATTATTTTTATTATTATTATAAGTAAAAATTAAATATTCTCTAAAACACTCTTATTCTGCGACCTGAGCCTTGAGTCCCATTACCATTCTAGTTATTTTGGCCTCACCAGCGATCAAGTATTTTGCTGTAGCACCTGTATGTCAAGGTGTCTGCTAGATCTGAAACCACTAACACAGTCATTATAAAGAAATGCTGGGATGAACAGTGAAAGCGGGTGTGAGCCGGGTCAGTACCTGGATGGGAGACCTCCTGGGAAAAACTAAGGTTGCTGCTGGAAGAGGTGTTAGTGGGGCCAGCAGGGGGCGCTCACCCTGAGGTCCATGTGGGTCCTAATGCCCCAGTATAGTGACAGGGACACTATACTGTAAACAGGCGCCGTCCTGACTCTCTGTGATCATTAAAAATCCGAGGGTGTTTCTCAAAAAGAGTAGGGGTGTAACCCCGGCGTCCTGGCCAAACTTCCCATTGGCCCTTGCCAATCATGGCCTCCCAATAATCCCCCTCCATGAATCGGCTACATTACTCTTCTCTCCTCCCCACTGAGAGCTGATGTGTGGTGAGTGTTCTGGCGCACTAGGCTGCCGTCGCATCATCCAGGTGGATGCTGCACATTGGTGGTGGTGGAGGGGAGTCCCCATTACCTGTAAAGCGCTTTGAGTGGAGTGTCCTGAAAAGTGCTATATAAGTGTAAGCAATTATTATAGTTATTACATGGAAGTGCATTTCAAACTGAGAACAGGAGCCACAGCTTTACCCAAAGGGTTGTGGGAGTGTGGAGCAGGCTGCCTTGCCATGGTGTTGTAGCTCAGTGATTCCTACCCTGGGGTGCAAGATGACCTTTCTGAGGTGTGCCAGATTTTTTTTTTTAAAGGTAAATCAAACAGAAATGGAAAAGACAAACTGCTTCAGTGATTTTGATCAGGGGCGTGAGAACATCTTTTCAGAACCAAAGGGATGCAGGCTGCAGTAAAGGTGGTAGCTGACGGCTTCTTTCGAGAAAAAGCTCGATGAGATCCTCAGCTCAGTTGACTACTAGCTACCAAACTGGTTAGATGGGCTGAATGGCCTCTTGCGTGTAAAAAAAAAAAAGGTTACAGACCTGCTGTGTTCTTAAGCTGGACTGTGGAGGGTGACCCACAGCCACTTTGAGGAGCGCAGCCCCAGACGTGCAGTTCTATTCTCAACCGTAGCGGACTGCTGTTTCCTTCATTGCTGTATCTCCCTCTTTGTGTATCGGCAGGGGTGAAGCTCGGCATGCACTCGGTGCCCATTGCCACGGCGTGCACGGTGTACCACCGCTTCTTCCAGACTGCCAGCCTGCAGGTATATGAGCCTCATCTCGTGGCCATGTCTGCCATCTACCTTGCGGGCAAAGTGGAGGAGCAGCACCTGCGGACCAGGGACATCATCAACGTGTGCCACAGGTACTGGGCCCTAGCAGGTGCACACCTTTACCACCAGTGCATGCCTGTCTCGGCTGGTGAGCACACTTTTTCAGCAGCCGGAGCGGAGTGGTGGCTCTGTGGCTCAGGATCTGCGCCTGTGGCTGGAAGGTTGCTGGTAAAAATTCCACGGCCGGCAGAGGAATCCTACTTCATTGGGCCCCTGAGCAAGGCCCTTAACTCCAACTGCTCCAGGGGCGCTGTACAATAGCTGCCCCTGTGCTCTGACCCCAAGCTTCTCTCCCTGTCTGTGTGTCTCATGGAGAGCAAGCTGGGATATGCGAAAAGATGAATTCCTAATGCAAGAAATTGTATTTAGCTAATAAAGTGATCTTATAATAAAACAGATTCAGTTTAGGGTTTAAGGTGTGGGACCTGTTTCCCAGTGAAACTTCACGCCTTCATTGGTAACTGGCGTTATTTACCGATGTTCACTTGAGTAAGGTCGTGCAATTGAGAGCTACTCAATCTGATTACTGTTTTACAAGTAATTAAAGAAGAAATGTGAAAACTTGTCATTTAAAATATCATGTATCCACCCAATTTGGAGTTGACAAATGCCTGATTTCCACCTGTGTTCGCCACTATGAACCAAGCGAGGGTTATTGTGTCGTCAGCTGTACCTGCCCGAACTGGAGGAAACTGTTAAATTGTCAGGTTAAGCCAGTAACTAGCTAGTTTAACTTAAGAACTGAACTCGAATGAAAACCTTGACAGATACCAGCCTTCCAGTGTTAGGGTTGCCCACCCCACCCTAAACTTTGATAAGCACACTGCAAACTAGTTACTTATTTACAGCTAGTGCTAGTTAATTAGTTAGCAGACTAGTGAATTTTAAATCGCATAGGTAAGAGCTGTGATGAGTCTGAGTTGCTGGGTGAGAATAGGGATGCTCACAAGAGATTTTGAACCCTCAGGCTCCATAGAGAGCTGACGAAGCTGGTGTAAAAGCATGATACCATACAAGGAGGAACTCTTCCCTTGTGTTTAAAACTGCTTGCACAACCCATTGGAGAGTTGAGTTCAGGGCTGTGTTAGGATGTCTGCTGGGCAAACACGTCATGAAAGCACCAGAGTGGGAATATATCCCGTGAGTTTGCATCAACCACAAACGCACTTGCCCACCATTTGGTGGCCTTCAAAACCCTAAAGTTCAATGCAGTCTTATCCTTTTCATACTATTTGACATTCTGATCTGGGAGCCATGTTGCAGTGTGTCCAGTAGTACTACTATTACACTTGTGAATCACTCAGAGACTCCTCTCCTTCCAGCAATAGGGATTCCTCCTTTTTACATCTATAAATGGCTAGTGCCTCCTTAATGTGTCCAGGAGAAAGTATGGCTATACAGTACTTGCAGACTGCGTCCCTCCTCACAGCTCCTGTTTTCTTCCTTGACCATGGTGCCATCCGATTGGTCAGATATTTTGGTCTCCACAGTGGGGAGGGTCATTGCTCATGTGATTTCTGGTCCTTCGCCGGTGCTGAGCGCCGCCTTGTGCTGTGCTGTTGTCTTGGAGGTACCTGAACCCCCGGAGTGAGCCCCTGGAGCTGGACAGCCGGTTCTGGGACTTGAGGGACAGCGTGGTCCAGTGTGAACTGCTCGTGCTCAGGGTCCTCGGCTTCCAGGTGTCATTCCAGCATCCCCACAAGGTCAGGAGCCCGGGATGAGTAGTGATTTCTGCAAGATTTAATTCAAGTAGTATATACTTAAAATAAAAAAATAAGCCCATAAAAATATTTATATATATTATGGGGGCAGTAAGTCCTTCTTCTTTCTGAAAGAATAAAAGATTAACCTAACTTACTACAGACCTTCACAGTGTGAGACTGGGTACCTAAGGGGTTGGGACTGCAGTGGTAAAATGGCAAGGTGTTAACCGGTATAATCATTACATAGGAACAAGTAATAGGTTTATTCCATGCAGAAAAAAAGAAGAAAGAGAACACAAAATTTCGGCCGTGGAGCCTTCTTCAGGTGTGAGGTCTTCAGGTCTTCCTCACACCTGAAGAAGGCTCCACGGCCGAAATGTTGTGTTCTCTTTCTTCTTTTTTTCAGCATGGAATAAACCTATTACTTGTTCCTTTGCAGCTTACGCATGCTGACGCAGCTACCCACCTGAACTATAATCATTACATGCTGTACTTTTCTGGTTTATATACGTGAGCCAATATTTATTTTGCCAAGTGATGTATTTTGCAGTTGAGTGAGACTCACTGCAAATGCCTCCGGGAGGCAGTTTTGTGAATGCAGACGGAGGAATTCTGTTTGTGATAAATTGAATATATATAAAAACAAATGCAAAAAATTCACTGACTTTAAAAACTTAAAAGGACTTGCCTACTTTTCAGTGATGACGTTTGACATTATATTGATTCCTGCATCATCGTGGAACAGATTCTTATCATTTTGCTTTAGGCCATTTTTTAACCATTGGCATGTTCATTGAAAGAGAATCCACACCATATATTTGTTGCATATGTAGTTAATGTTTCAGTTTACTTGTTAGATCTGTTCCCCAACACACTGTCGTACTATTATTTAACAAGCAGACCAATCCAGTGACCCAAAAGCCCAATCTAGTGACTCTGCAGTTTTGCAAGAACCAAAGGGTCACACTACTGAAAGCTTTTGCTGAATGAGCCCTGTTGGGTTCTCCCCTCCAAATTCCTTCTTCACAGTCTAGAGCTACCACAGTGGCGTCACTTGCCAGAATGATGTTCAATCTCCCAGCAGCAAAACACAGCACAGTGTGCAGACGGGCAAGCAGATCCACTGACCCCCAAAGGTGGTCATGTATCCCAGTGGATTTCCTATGGTTTTCAAGCTCCAGAGGGTGCAGTCATTTCAACAGGCTCACCCCGAGCAAGTACTGTTACATCAGTGCAGAAATGCTGTTGTTAATAAACAAGGTGGAAGGTGGCGTCAATGGGTATGTAACTGTGATCTCCTGTTTGCAAGCAGTGGAATGTTTTGTGCGTGCACTAAGATGCATGGTAAAATTACACCCTTTACTGCTTACCACCCTGCCTGCAGCCGTGATGCTTTTGCAGTGAAAAACATTTGCATAGCTGTTTAAACATTTTTGGCAAGCTGGGGAGTGTTTCCTATTGGAACTAAATAGGAAAAAAGTCACAATTTTAACACATTGTTGTTTTCTAAATGCTGGAATTTGAAAGTTCGCATTCTGATCTTCCAGGATGCCTCGAAGGCCTCTCGCAAACTTGGTGCGTGCCTTGTTTTTCCACATTGAGACCGGAGGTGACATTTCAGCTTCATCAGAAACCTGTGGGCGCGCAGACCCCTGCACCTTCCCGTCGCAGTCTAAAAGCACGCTTTCTTTATCCTTGCACTCCCTGCAGTACCTCCTGCACTACCTGGTGTCTCTGAAGAACCTGGTGAACAGGCACGCCTGGAGCCGCACGCCGATCAGCGCGACGGCGTGGGCCCTGCTGCGGGACAGCTACCACGGCACGCTGTGTCTGCGCCACCACCCCCAGCACATCGCTGTGGCCGTGCTCTGCCTGGCCCTGGAGACCTACGGCATGGAGGTGCCGGGGGACGCGGAGGCCGAGAAACACTGGTGGCAGGTCAGTGGCCCTGTCCCTGCTGCCCTGAGCCCGGGTGCGCTAGCTGGCAGCCTGCTGGGCGGCGTGGAAGTGAATGAGCCTTGAGGAAAACTAAAGCTAGAGAAACCAGTGAATTTTATTTGTTTAATGGGAATAGGTCACTTTACACAGAGAGCTGTGGGAGTGGGGAACACACTTCCCAACCATGCTGTTGAAGCTGATATCCTGGGTTTTTTCAGTAAACAGCTAGATAAGAACCTATAGTAGGTTGGCTACTATAGCCACTGTTTGCTACTATTAGCTACTGACTGCTAAATAGGCTAAAAGGCATCCTCTCATTTGAAACTGTTCATAAGTTAAAGCTTATCTTTATGCCTGATTGTTTATTTTAATGGAGTGGAGATTTTTACGACGATTCACATAATGTTAGATAGAAAATTTCAAAAATTCTTTCAATAGACTTCACGTTTTCAGGCACAAGCCCAGCGTTAGGCTCTAGTTTGTGTCAGAAATACTGAAACTCCTGTTTATGATAAGTAAAGTCCAGCTGCTAGAAAGCAGTTTGTGTTTTTCCATGAGGTATGAATGAGCAAGTAATCCCAGTCATCACTGGAAGCTGAAATATTTCCCCACTGATTGAAAATGAAGGTACAGACAGGATACATAATTTCGCAATTAACATGTCTTGGCAGATTGTTCCCTTTTGTAAGCGGTATCTGACAAAACAGTTTTAAAGTGGGATATATATGCAGATACCGAGCTTGTGTTGCACTGCGTTGTCTCATTCTACCGCTCAGGTATACTGTGAATCCTAATTTTGCTTCCGTTATCCATACTTACGTCTGTTTTTAGGGCAGGGTGTACAGTCCTGGTCCTGGAAGGAGAATAGGAGAGTGTGTCTACAGATTTTAATTCCACTTCAGTTCATAATAAGCTAAACCATTGCTTAGTGACTTGACTTGACCAAATAAGCAGCTTCACCCAGATCTTCAGTGACCAGTGGTTAAGAGAGAGCTGCAGTCCTGCCTGTTCTCCAGGACTTGCGTGGGACCTACATACAGCTCTCCATTTTAGGATTTAATAGGAAAAAAAAACACTTCAGAAGATCTGATTGGAAGATTTCTTGATTTTGTTTTACACCTAAGTCTCTGAGCTGGCAATACTGTTTTTAATGGCAGTCATGCCGTTTGCTTTAAGAAAGCAGCTTTCCCAATGCAGCCTTTGTGTGCTGACTAATGATAAACAACGTTTGTGGACCTACTAGACCTATACTATATTAATAGTGCCTGGAGGTGATTGGAAGGAGAATGGGATATAAACAGGAAAAAAGTCTGTGATTCTGCAAGTAAATGCTAAAAATAAAATGGACTGCAGGAGCTTTTCATGACACATGCCTCCTTGATTTTGACAGAGTGTGCTTTGTTCCTAATGTTTTTACACCCTTGTAGAACAGTTGAACACCTCTTCTCCTCTTCAGAAAGCTGTGCATAGTTTGCATAGTTTTTCTACCTGGACTGGATGGGTCCTTTTCCTTCTGATCCAGTGATATTGTGATTCTCTAATCCAGTTCATAATGGGTTCTAGTTCTTTTTTTTTTCTTTTCTGGATTGTCTGATACCTGCATGTGGACATCCTCACTTCAACACTGAAAGTTAATCATTCTAATTAATCTAGCTATGTGCAAGTATTATTATTGATATGAGCTGTTTAATTGGAATTGTTAATAAAAACTGAAGATCGATGCATTAGATGATACTTTATTTTTTAAATACAGATTTTTTGTATCTCCCGCCACTTGATTTGGAATAGCCGATAGTGTGTTTGTCATGTCTCAGCTTGCAGCTTCTCTTTTACTGACTCTTTTTATTTAATTTTCCTGAAGTGAAGAGCTATATACCTGGACTATATAGAGTCCAGAACCTTAACCATTACCCAGGTCACAAAAAATAGACAATTCTACCAATTACTGATAAAAAGAAGTTATTTGTGATTCTCTTCTATATACTTACATTGTGCTATGAACTGTGTGTTGTCCTTGTTATGCTTTTCCCCCCATGTTACGGTTTCCAATCCAAAATTGTTTTGTCTTGTCCAGGTCTTAAGCGATGATATTACGAAACCCATCATTGACGACATTATCAGTGAACTTTTGCAACTTTATGACTTGGAAGCCAAATGTACCTGAGAGAGACTGAACAGTGACATGACAATAAAACTGGACCCTGCCTGCATTCATAGGTAAGACACCACCCGAACTTCTCTTGCTCATTCACGAAATGCTCTAGTTTTCTGATAAAAACACACATAAAATAAGATATTTTTTTGGTATTCGATTGTAGTTGCATGTTTATAAGCAGTGAAAATGCACATGCCTTCAAGATTTTTATTAGATGGTGTCAGCTTGCAAACATGTGAGATAACCTACATTTCACAAGTGCTCTATAAAATAAGAATTCCAAAATTAAAATTAAATGCACATTTTCCAACTATCGATCTATTATACAAAAGCTGTATAGTGGCAATCCACCGACTAGTTTTAATGTGTAGGGCACGAGGTGGGGCGACAGTCCATCCCAAGGCAGACACATACACAGGTTTTCCTCTCCAGTGCAGCCGGTATATGTATTGTAACGCTAGGTAAGCAAGTCAGTGCTGGTTGGTTGCTGTATGGAATTAAAGAAAAAAATCCTAATACTTCCATCAGTGTACAGAACGTGGACGTTTTGTACACCATTACATCATGGCATCATGGTTCAGAGCACCAAGTAACACAAGGGTGGTGACGTTCCATTATCAAACATGGTGACGGCAGTGCTAAAGATAAAAAAAAAAAAACAAACACATTATCCCTTTAATTTACACTTTCCTCCTAATGTAAGCGTTTGCTTCGGCTTGGAGCCACTGTGGGGTTTCCCCTGATGAAGGGCTTTGTTCAAGAAGAAATTGAGGATGTTGTGCAGTTTGCAAGTAAAGATCTGAACTTGCAAGGCTTCTGGGTTCTAGACCAGTTAGTTAGCCATTGCTGCTTGTATTGCACACCTGTGTGAAGTGGGAGTCATCTTCTTAACACTCTGACCTTGCCTGTGGCAGGAATTGTCCACTGTGTGCTGTCACAGATATCCCTCCCCCTACTTAATGGCCCATCTAAGGGAGCAGAAGGTGGTTAAGTAACGTTCTCAGGGTAATGCAGGGTTTGACCTGGGACCCTCCTGGTTCTGAGCCTTTCTCCTTCAACCACATGCCCAAGTCTTTCACCTGGCAGCACAGCTTTGTGAACGGTTTGGTGTCTTCACTGTGCTTTCCTCCCCTTTTTGGGAGGGACTGAACAACGGAACGACATTAATCAACTCCCAAACTCGCTGGCCTACTTTTTTTTTTTCTTTTTTGGAGTTGCAGTCACGGACGGTCGAGGGAATGGAATAACTCCCCAGAGTTTCCACGCGACTCGAGCGTTATCTAGGACAACATTATGTATTTTTACAATCTCCTTTCTTCATTGTTCTATAAAACTGTAAAAAAAAAAGAGAGAGATGAGAGGCGTTTGTGTTTGTGCCGGGCTGAGGGCCTGCTGGTGAGGGGATGATAGTGGAGAGCTTTCTGGAACCTCTGAGTTACACTGAAGCGCTGTTGCCCCATCCTGTCATCCATCCATCTTTTTTCTGTCCGATTTTTCCAGTTCATGGTCTGGGGGCAGCTGGAGCCTATCCCAGCAAGCAATGGGCACAAGGCAGGGTACACCCTGGTGGCCAGTCCATCGCAGAACAGACTCAGACATGGACATGCATACTCTCCCACCTGGTTCAGTTTTCCCAGAAGCCAGTTAGCCTAATTAACCAGCATGTCTTTGGATTGTGGGAGGAAACCCACGCTAACAGGAGGAGAACATACAAACTCCATGAAGAATTGAACCAAGGGCTGCGAGGCAACAGTGCTAACCACTGTGATTACCCAATCAATCGGTTTTAATTTCCACTTTAATAAATCTCATATTTTATTAAATAAATAAATTGGCGGAGCGGTGGCTCTGTGGCTAAGGATCTGCGCCTGTGACTGGAAGGTTGCAGGTTCAAATCCCGCAGCCAGCAGAGGAATCCAACTCCGTTGGACCCCTGAGCAAGGCCCTTAACCCCAACTGCTCCAGGGGCGCCGTACAATGGCTGACCCTGTGCTCTGACCCCAAGCTTTTCTCCCTGTCTGTGTGTCTGTGTCTCCTTGGAGAAAAAAGCTGGGGTATGCAAAAAGATGAATTCCTAATGCAAGAAATTGTATAGGGCTAATAAAGAAACATTATTATCAATAAAGGCCCGATCTGAAGCAGCTAAAACCATCTCTATGAGTGGAAACGTACTTTGCTAGAAGGAGGTGTTGCATGCTGTAGTTCAGCTAGCACTGCGAGCACAGAATGTATTGGAACTCTGCAAGGCTGTGAGAGGAATCTTGACCTTGACCATGGTGGAGAGGTGCACTTTGTCATCATCAATGGAGGGAACACTGAAGTTCAAACACTTTTTTTTCATTCTAAACTCATTTAAAACAATGAGCAGTTTAATTTGATTTTATTTGGAATGCCTAAGCCTTCAAACCTCCTCACTGTTGTTTGTCTTATTTTATTTGCTCGATGCGTTTATCCAAATTGTAATATAAATAAATGACAATTATCCTTTTTACTGGCCACATGTCAATTGAAGCACCAGTTTATGCAGCTGGGACAACCTGGCTGAAGCACCATATCCTCAGCGGGTCACTCAGTAGTGTCCGTGCCTGGGATTTTAACCTGCAACCCTCCAGATGGGCGTCAAGAGCCCAGACCGCTGTTCCACACTACCACCGGAAGGGTTTGAGACAGCTTTTGATGTGAGGTTTTACCTTGGTTTTTTTTTGGTCTTGGGCTTGAGTGAGGTCTCAGCCCTCTTTTCCAAGTCCTTGGAAGGTTCTTTGGGATTTAATTATTGAAGGGAAAATCAAGGTACTTCTCACCAGCCAACCTTTGTACGAGGGACTGTGTGTTTTTTTTTAAGGCAGTTGAACCGGGATCGTTCTTTTTCCATGCCATACCCTTGTGGAGTCACAAGTGCTTAACAAAGCACGATTTCAGTGTAATGAAGATTTCTTTTCTTTTTTTCTTTTGTTTAGATTGTGCAACAGAAACACTGAAGTCCAGGTTTGTCTGAACATAGCGGTTTGAACATCTGTGAGAAATCCCGTTTGGACATTTTTTTGTGTTTTTTATAAGGGTTCGCATTGTGCTGGAGCTCGGAGATGCAACTTGAAGAAGTAAAATAACACGAAGGAGGAAAAGGGACTTCTAGTCTGGCGATGGACGAGGTGGTGGAGTTTGCCAGTGAGGCCAGACTTGTTCTAGTTTATCTTCAGGTGAAAGAAGTTGAAGGCTATACCTGCAATACTTATTTTGTCCACAAGAGTGCATGGATTGGATTGCAGAGCTGTGCTGCTCACATCATTACCCTTGCATTAGCTCCTAATGCCTCCTGTTCAGTCCTTTTGTTTAAGTGGAACCCTTCTTTTGTGGATTAAGATGATTGCTAGTTCCTTATTTTATTTTTGTTAATGTAATAAAAATTTTAATCAACTGTGCCTGTTGATCTTGCAGAAAGACTTCTATTAACAGAGTTATAATCTTCTCCCGTAGGTTTTGGTATAAAAACTAAAGAAATGAGCTTGTAGTGCAGCCCCTTCTAAAAAGGTGAGGTTTTAGAAGGGTTTAATTTGTCTTTGAATTGTTTGGTTGTTTTTTGTTATTGACGCGTTGTGTGTCTGGTATGCGCACATGGTATGTATGTGTGCATGGTTCAACAAAATGAAACATCGACGTCATGAAGCTGCACGTTTCTAACAAAATATGTAGAAGGAAGATAAGACCTCCACTGCAGGTACAGCCTGAGCCAGAATAGTGCTGGCTATATTTGTTTCATTACCTTTATTTTAGTAAATGTTCATTGTGGGGCATTTGAAGTCAATGTCATACTAAATACTTTTTTATTTGTTCAGTCTGTGCAATTTATAATAGAGCTTTCAGATAATTAAGCCTTAAATTATTTCCATTCTATGAAGTGGGACTGTAATTTAAGGGTTTCTCAGTATACTGTGTTTGTTGGAATGGATCCATCTATATTCACAATAGGAGCAGGTTATGCATTAATTGCAAGACAAGCGTAATCTTTGTACAATTGTTATGCAAGAATGATACATCATAAATTGTTTAAATGCTGCTGATGTTACGTGAATTCTTTGCTTAACTACCAGAGCAGCTGTGGCTTGTAAACCTGAATGCCTGTGATTTTGCACATCTGCTTGTTCCCAACCTTATGCATGACTAACCAGTCCATTATAAAAAAATGCAATTCTATGTAAACCCAACACACAATTTTATTCTTCATATACAAACATTTTCTTCTTTCACTGTACTTTAACTGCTACGCTATCTGGTCCTTGTCTTGCTAACACCAGTCAATATATAGAATCACCCATTTCTTTTAATGCCACTCCGCCTTCCTCCTAATGTAGGTTAAAGTAAATGTTTATTGATCTCCTAATTCAGTTTGGAGAAAAGCTTCCAAAAAACAGCTTCAGTTCACTGAGATCGATGCTGTACTACCTTTATGTTTGCTCCCTCCAACTATTGTTCTCATGCCGATTTATGAATGGTGCCTCAAACCTAAGCCTTTGAAACACTCGGAAAACTGAACACTTGAAGGGGAGAAGGAGATTTTATGCCCATCTAAATTCACAGATCCTGAATGTAGATCAGAAGTCTTCCATGTCGTTTTAAGGATATGCTATAGGATTGTGTATTTCAGAGACATTAAAGATAGGCATGACTCGAAAGAGAAAAAATTAAAATATAGGTTAGAATGCAGTTGGCTTTGCCATTAAAAGAGGTCTTTTACACAGAGGCTTTGATAATGATTTAGATTAAGTTATAAAAATGTTTCATTTTTATAACTGCCCCTGCCATATCACCCTGCAACTCACAACTGGCAACCCACTGAAGCTAAGCAGGTGTGAGCCTGGTCAGTACCTGGATGGGAGACCTCCTGAGAAAAGCTAAGGTTGCTGCTGAAAGAGGTGTTAGTGGGGCCAGCAGTGGGGCCAGCAGGGGGCGCTCACCCTGCGGTGTATGTGGGTCCTAATGCCCCAGTATAGTGACAGGGACTATACTGTAAACAGGCGCCGTCCTTCAGATGAGACGTAAGACCGAGGTCCTGACTCTCTGTGGTCATTAAAAATCCCAGGGCGTTTCTCGAAAAGAGTAGGGGTGTAACCCCGGCATCCTGGCCAAATTTCCCATTGGCCCTTACCAATCATTGCCTCCTAATAATCCCCATCTATGAATTGGCTTAATTACTCTCTGCTCTCCTCCTCACTGATAGCTGATGTGTGGTGAGCGTTCTGGCGCACTATGGCTGCCGTCGCATCATCCAGGTGGGGCTGCACACTGGGGATGGAGGGGAGTCCCCATTACATATAAAGCGCTTTGAGTGGAGTGTCCAGATATTCTAATTAATTAGATATTCTATTAATTGTCAAGTCAGGTGTTGTACAGTGCTATAGAATGTTACTAACTAACGCATGTTTCAATGTTGGTTACCACATGATCATTTAAAGCTTTTTCTTCATTTACATCAACAATTACTTGTTACTGATTCATTTATGTTGTGTACTTTTTTTATTTGAAATAATTTTGTAACTTTTCCCCTTCTCTCTCTTTAAATCGGCATATTGGTAATAAAAGTGAGGCATTAATCTTGTTTTTCATTTCCAAACTAGCTGGCCTTATTTACTTGTTTTGAGCAGCACAAAGTGTGAACTCTGTGCACTTCTTTTTCACAAATTTCACAAATATGGAGTGAAAACTTTTTCCCCATCCTTGGACACCCTCTGGGCACTCTCGTCCTTGAACTTTGGCTTTATATCATGCTGTTTCTCACTGTAATCCAGCTAACACAGTACTACTATTTAAAACATGTTCCATAATGATTATGTCTGAATCTCCAGTTTAAAGGTTAAAAGATGTTTATAAGAAAAAGTATCAAGAGAGCTGTTGCATCCTTACAAATCTGAAGTGTATAATATATCCAAAGGCCATTTCTCTTTAAATGTAGAAGCTGTATCTCACGACGGGTATGATAGATTAGAGTTCGAGCAGCCTGCGACACTGTCTTGAGTGGTTTCTCTGGAGTAGTATCCACAAGCATGGTGGTAAAACAGACTCGAGAAATTCTATGACTAATACATCCTAACATCTAACACGGGGAAAGTTATCGAAAAAGATATTTGAAACAGAGGATCATCAAAGTCAAAATAATCTAGGCAATAGTCAATATGAGTTCAGAAAAGTCCGTCTTGTCTAAGGAACCAGTTCTTTGAACAAGCTACGACGGTAGTGGACACACACAGCAAATATATTAAGGTTTTCAGAAAGGTCCTCATAAAACAGTAGAGATAAGAGATTTGGGATGATGTAGTTAGTGGAGTACCTCAGGAATCTGTACTAGGAGCACAGCTTTTCTTAATTTATATCAATGGTCTAGATTCTGATATACTGTAGTTAAGCTTGTAGATAATATCAAACATTGATGAATAAGCATATTAAATAATAAAATACTGAAATAAAATTCAAGACTGGACAAATGCGTGGCAGCCTAATGTAGATAAGTGCAGGATTTCGTATGTAGGTCATGAAAACATAAACTGTAACTACAAAATGGGAAATACTGAGCTAGCAGAGGCTACTTATGAGACACTTTGTTTAAATTGATACATTCACTATATTGATAAGAGACAGTATAGGGTAGAATTAAAAAGGCAAACAAATTTAGGATGTCATTTCAAAAGTGTGGAAATCAAGGGGTGTATAGTTAAAATTGTATAGTGCACCTGATTTTTCCCCCTGATGTGATCTTCATTTACAGGTTCATATCTGTGCAGTGCACTCACCCTCATGGGCGATAATTTGGTAAAGCAGAGGGACTAGTGATGTTTGTGTCATTGTCACACATTGTAGCACCTCTCTCTATGTTACCACCACTGCTACAGTTTACAAAGCATTGAAACAACAAACAAGTTTGCTGTGCAACACGAATACAGGGCTCAGCCGATCAATGCAAATAAACCAGGAAAACATGTATCTGCAACCATTTACTTGCCACTTTATCCAGGGCATGGTCACAGAGGAGCTGGAGCCTATCCCAGCAACAACAGGCACAAGGCAGGGTATTCTGAGCAGGATACCAGTCCATTGCAGGGCACACACTCACACCAGGGCCCGGTAACCTACCAGCATGTCCTTGGGCAGTGGGAGGAACCCCATGCAAACCTGGGGAGACCATACAAACTCCACATAGATAGCACTCCAGGAATTGAACCCAGGACCTCAGCACTGCAAGGCGGCAAAGATAACCCATGCAAAATTGTGCCACCCAGAACATGCGCAAGTAATGACTAATTTTATTTCATTAATTTCACACTTTGATCTTTTTAATTCCCCAGACAGGTTGGATCAAATGCAATGACCACACATGATTATTTCTTTAAGCTGGTCTCAGTGTTTTGGGTCTCCACTCCAAGACCTTCAGTTAACCTTGGGGGGAGGTTCTGTCTTTTTAAGAAGGAGACATTGGAAAGTGTGTGACATTTTAAGATGGAAGAGATTGTAACCCTTTTCTTTTTTTTCTGGTCTGCAGTTCAGTGCATGAGAGTGTAACAATGTGCCCATCCAGGATCAATTGAAGACGCTTTGTTTGAAGCCCTGAAAGAAAAGACCACATTGAAAAGTTAACGTTAATTTGCTTTGGCCTTCACAAAACCAGTGGCCATTGCCGGAGGGCTAAAGGACATAACGAGATTAAAAAGGGAGATTTTTAAGCAGATCAATAATGAGGGCTCATCTCCACCCTTGCACAATATCGCACCGGCTGCAGTAAAGACTGTCACGTATTTATAGGTGTCCTCCCACATCTTGCTCGAAGCAGTCAGCTTACAGGCAGTTTTTTCCTTTAGAAACAGTGTACTGCATACAAGTACAGCAACGTCAACCTAAACCAAGTAGCTAGAGGCATAGAGTACATACAGTGCAGTGTTTGCAACAGTATACAGAGTTGACTAAGTAACTTTAAATTCACTGCACTTTCAATCTCAGGCCATAGGCACTAGAACAGTGTGTACTGAAGGCATTTATATTTTTAATACATTTCAGTATATATGTTGATCCCAGACTTAATTTCCTGATTGCAGCTGTCAAGCTCACTGTCCTGTTGATAATGATAAGTTAAATTTGTCACTGGCTGCCTGGCTGGGGTAATTGTTATGTAACTGTGAACGGTTCTGGCTTGCAGCAGTGCCTGTGCTTCTAAAGACGAGTGATGCACCATCTCCCGGGTGTCACGAAACCCCAGCTTGTTAGTATTTTATTTGTGTGTGTGTGTTCTGAAGATGAAACTAATGTGAATTCCTGGAAAAACGCTAGCTCACCCTCTATCTCTTTTTCTCTCTCTCTCTGTCCTTGTCAGTCAGTGCCCCAGTCTCCCTGCAGCTAGCCAGCTCTCTTCCTTTGTCTCTGTAGCTCCTGTCTCATCTCTCTCGCTTTACATTGTCCATCTTCTCCTGTCTTTGTTTCCTTCTCTCGTTCGCTTGAACTCCAGGGCGTCGGGAGCAGAAGTATTTTAATAAGTGCTCCTACTCAGAAAGAAGCATTCATATGTACCAAGCATCATACAGCAGCTGTGTTTTGTTTTCCCGTAATTCCCCATGAAGACTGCTGTTCCTATCTAATTCAAAATTAAATATACAGTATGGGCTCGCCATTCTTTTTAACCACATTTTTGTGTGCACACAATCTTTGCACAACCATTAGTTACACAATCATCGACCAAAATAGTTAGGACCCCCACCTACTTTATTACAGAGGTGCCAGGGCCTCTGTGAGTAGGAAGTGAAGAACAGCCGAAAAAGCATGTAGTTCACAATCCACATCTTGAAGTTCCTGTGACCCAGTCTCATCACCTTCAGGAGATGCTGTGATTAGGCCAGTGGCTCTTCCCTTTCTAGGGCTTCAACCACTTCCCTGCAGAACTAAGATCACCAGGATTGCTCCGACCGGGGAAGGTGAAGGAAGTCAGCCTTTTGCTCCTCCGGACAGCCACACATTCACAGCCGCCGAGGGTCAGTTCCTGTGGACTGGGGTTTTGGCTACCGTGTATTTCCGTTTCG